CTGGGCGGGAGGGAGCGGGCTGCGGGCGAGCCCAGGAAACACATCCCGGGCCCTCCGTCCACTGCTGTCCCCAAGTCGGAAACCCTTCCCGCATCCATTGGATCCTCATCTCTGAGGTGTGGACTTAAACATGAATATTTTGGGAACTGGGATGCAGCGCGCGCGCACACACACACACACACACACCCCATGCTGAGTCCCAATGCCGCCTGGGCTCCGTGCAGGGAGCCGGACAGGATGCCCACACCCTTGAACCTGGCAATGCTCTAGAATCCCCTGTACCGGGCAGTGGGGTTCAGGAAAGGGATCGCCCAGAACCCAAGCCGGAAACAGATTCTACGATTTGCAGCAGCACTCCCTCATTAACCTCCCAAGAAAAAAAATTACAAGCCAGCGAATGAAGGGCACAGAAATGAAACTTGTTGCAGAGCGTGGAAAATGACAGCAACTCTCAAAGTTGCTTCCCCTGCCACTTCCTTCCTGTGCTGGGGAGAAAGGCGAGGGAGAAGGGATGGGGATCCAGCTGGGCACCTTCTCCTTCAGGCCTGGGGAAGACTGATACACCGGTGCCCCAGGCAGACCAGCCAATCAGCCGACCACCTCAGGCTGGATGCTCAGGGCGCTCTCAGAGATAAGCAGACACGTTTCTGTGCTTCCCACCAGGGCGGCAGGCGGCGTGATGGAGGCCTTTGCCTCTACCGCCTGACCCCTGCCGTTTCTCTTCCCTGGGCACAGGAGGCATATGCAGAATACCTGCGGAGCATCCACTACATCTCCCAGGTGCTGCTGGAAGAAGTGGAAACCACCCAAGGTACAGCTCTCAGCCTCACTGCTGCTCCTGGGCTGGTCAGATGTTGGTCACCTAAGCCCTTGGTGGGTTTCAGGCCTGGGGGTGTCCTGTCCTACCCACTTGGTCATTAGCAGAAGACGAATGGCTGGGCACTCAGTCAGCATGAGCTATCGTGGTGTGATGTGATGGGGGGGGGGTAGACAGGTAGGACATGGCCAGGGAGGAGTGACCTGAGCAAAGGCTGGGGGCAGCCTTCCAGCAGAGGGGTGAACAAAAGCCCTGAGCTGAGAGTGGGTGCTGCGTGTGAGGAAAGGCAGGCAGGCCGGGGCAGGTTCGTGCATTAGGGGCAGGCAAGGAGCTGGGGTGGTTCCCACAGGAGGGTTAGCTCATGGAGAGGCCGGCATGGGGGCAGAGCCTGCAGGAGGTCCCCATGGTGGGGACAGCAGTGTGAGACCTCCTGGGGGTGGATGGCCTGGGGGATGTTCTTTGAGGGTGGACTTCACCAGACTTGCTGGAGGGGGAGAATTCTGCTTGAGGGCACCTTGGTTGGGGAGAGGTGGGAGTCACCACGGTCGGAGCAGCCCTAGGGAGCCAATGAGCTTAGCAGAGGTCTGGGCACTGCAGGACGAGGACTGGGAGGAGTTTGGGGCAGTAGTCCAGGGCGTGTCCTGGGGGAGAGAGACCCTGAGAGGTTGGGGAGCACTTGGGACTAGGGCAGACGTGGGGGTGAGGGCAGTTTCGGTGGGAGTGTGTTGAGGGGCTGGCTGTGAAGGGAGCAGGAGGTGGGTCAGGACCTGGGCTGGTGGTGTCCGGGGGTTTGGGGAGGCAGCTCCTACAGCGAGTGTCTGCTGGTAGGAGAGTCTATAGAGTGGAAGCCCTAGGGAGGGTGAGGGTGGGCTGAGCACAGCCAAAGGCCAGGAAGTGGATGAAGAAGTTGTCTCTGTGACATGGTCCCTGAATGGTGGCCCACCTGGAGGAGGGGCTGTGGGTGCAGGTGACGTCCTCAGGAGAAAAGGCCCTGTTGGGTAGAGAGAGGCTCTGACGGTCCAGCTGAGACAGTGGGACAGTCAGTCAGATGCTGGGCTGGCCCTGCTCGGAGCCCGAGGGCCGATGGTCAGAGGTGAGGGGTGGGTGGGCTGGCCCGGGAGTCAGAGGTTAGGAGACAGTCAACGTGCCCTTGTGTTTATCTCAGCAAGAACCTGGTTAGTGAATGAGTGATGGTAACAGTCTTCCTGTCCGTGCCCAGACGCTGGGGAGCCCGTGCCCCCGGATGCCCTGAAGATGCTGAAGCTGGCAGAGCAGTGTCTGGAGAGGGCCCAGTCGACGGTGGCCAAGCTTGGTGGGTCTCCAGCAGGGGCATCCCCCCAAGTTTGTCTCCTCTGTGGCCTGTGGGGCCCTGTGCCAATTTGTGGCTCTGTGTGCCTCGCAGGGAAAGCCTGCCTGAAGCCAGCCATGCCCGTGGCGGCTGCTGGCCCCTCACCTACCAGCCGACACCGCCGGGTGTACTCGGACGAAGGGGGGAAGCTGCTCCCGTTTCTGCCGCCAGAGATCTTCCAGAGGCTTCAGGTGGTGGAGTCGCAAAGCTCTAAGAAGTAAGATGGGGGTTCAGGGGGGGGGGGCACAAGGAAGGTGGGCGGAGCCTGGGTTTGGCCTGCAAAGGGAGCTCACCATGGCAGGGCTAGTTTAGGTGAAATGGGTCCCAGGTTGGAAATGCCCGTGTGCCTGGTGGAAACACATACAAACTGTCCTTTAACTTCTGTAAAGTAAGTGGCACACGGTCCGAGATCACCAAGCACACAAGGAAGTAAGAAACCAAAGGAACGACAGAGAGACAGACTACAAAGCTGTCGGATCGAGTTATCAGACACAGCTTATAAAGCAATCGTGCTCTCTGTATTTAGAAATGAAAAGCACGTGTGACAATGCCTACAGGTTGCCCTGGCCAGTGTGGCTCAGCAGTTGAGTGTCGTCTGTGCACCAAGAGGTCACAGGGCATATGCCTGGGATTTGGGCTTGATCCCCAGTAGGGGGCATGCAGGAGGCAGCTGATAAGTGTTTTTCTCTCATCGATGTTTCTCTCTTCCTCCCTCCCTCTCTCTCTAAAATCAATAAAAACATCTTTTTTAAAAAGAAAAGACCTGCAGAGAAAAGAAATACCTGCAGGAACAAGAAACTATAAAATCTGACCTAGCAAATAAAGAATCAAGTAGAAACTAAATAAAAACTATAACACCACCATTATTGTTAAACATGAAGTGATAACAGTAACAACAAATTACAGTTGATCCTTGAACGGCTGGGGGTTGGGGGCACGGAACACCATGCCTCAGGCTGCTCCGGAGGCTCCAGGCCCCTGGCTCATCCACCTGTGGCTCTGGGGCAGGGGCATGCCGGGCGCTTCCACCCCAGGGCAGCCTTTCTCCCCGTCCCCCACCCAGGAAAGCAGGAAGAGGTGGGACCGAAGCTTTGGTGGTGGGTGGCTGTGGGAGCTATTCTCCAGTAGAGGTGGTTGTCCCTTTCGTGGGCTGCTCACGGGTGCCTTGGTGCCTTAAGAGTCTCATGTTGTTGCCGAACACACATGACTGAATTGCATCATGGGCTGAGGTCTGGCTTCCTGTGAAAAGTCAGCCGTCCTGGCAACAGGACACCCACATTTCAGGGGGCTGTGGTCCAGTCCCTCCAGACACCCTCCCTCCTTTACACTTCCTGCCGACCCCCTGGCTACTTCCTCACGTCCTGGCCTCAGGGCTGGGTCGGGAAGGGTTCTCGGGTCCCCAGAACGTTGCTGGGCTTCCTGGGCCTGGACAGCAGCGTGTCCCGTTTCCAGGGAGCTGACACCCCTGGAGGAGGCCTCCCTGCAGAACCAGAAGCTGAAGGCCGCCTATGAAGCTCGGATGGCCCGTCTGGACCCCAGCCAGGCCCTGCAGAAGACGTCGCTGGTGAGCAGCCCCCAGGGAGGCTGTGTTGCTGGGGGAGGGAAGCAGGCTTACTCCCCCCTCCCCTCCTAGACCCTGTCCCTGCAGCGGCAGATGATGGAGAACCTGGTGATCGCCAAGGCCCGGGAGGAGACTGTATCCTTTCTGTCCACCCAGCCTCTGTGTCCAGAGGGGGAATCGGGATTGTGACCTTGAGCTGAGGGAGGAGGAGGGGAAAGTAACAGGTGACAGGGTCAGGGTGTGGGCACGAACTTCTTCAGCTTCAGGAGAGCCATGTGCTCGGGGAATGGTCCGCACACCCCCTTGGCAAAGACCGTCCTGCCCCCCAGCAAAGGGACTCCTCTCCATCCTTCAAGTCACCTGCCTCCCTCGCTAGTGGGTGCCCGTCCTCCAGCGGCGCCACTGGACCGGACCTCCTGAAGGGCCGAGGCAGTGCCCTGCCCACTGGACCCTGAGTCCGGCCGGGCTTAGCGCACATGCAGGGCATCGGATGCGGCCTTAACTCTGCGCCAGCTGCAAAGGAAGATGGAGGAGCGGCGGCTGCGGCTCCAGGAGGCCGCCAACAGGTACGTCCCCTCCCATCAGTCCAGCCTTGGCCTCAGGGCAGCTGGGAGGACTGGGGGGTGCACCCAGACGCCTGAGGCCCAGCCCCGTCCTTCCTCCCCAGGAGGTTCTGCAGTCAGGTCACCCTGACCCCCGAGGAGCGGGAGCAGCGGGCCCTCTATGCCGCCATCCTCGAGTATGAGCAAGACCACGTGAGTCCCGGGGGCAGGTGCCTGGGTCACGGGCTGCGGCTCCGGGTGGGGGTCCTTGGGGTCAGGGTTACCCCCCTAGCCCCCTTGTGGGGCACAGGGTCCCCTGGGCCTGATGGCATTGGATCTTCACTGCACCCCAGGGTAGGTATCAACAAGGAGGCCTGGCCTTTTGGGGTGCAGCCCTGGCCGGGGGCGGGGGGAGGAGGAGGAAGGAGGGACCTCCCTTCATGGGGGTCCCGTGCTCTCCTCCACGGTCTCCTGTCCTGCAGGACTGGCCAAAGCACTGGAAGGCCAAGCTCAAGAGGAGCCCTGGGGACCTGTCGCTAGTGACCGGCCTGGTGTCCCACCTGCTCAGGTACAGGGTCCTCAGGCCCCGCCCTCCGGCTGCTGGAAGGCCTAGGAGGGGAAGAGGTGATCGTGGGCCGGGGGCTGTGCTGCCCAGGCCCCTTTGCCCAGTGGACTTTCAGGGCCTTTCTCTGCTTCCTCCAAGGGGTGGGCCAGACTGTATTTGCAACCTTCCCTCTGGAGGAAGGAATGCTTGTTGGACGAGGGGTGTGGGGAGGGCAGGCTGCTCAGCCCCCAGGCCCGAGGCCAGCCAGGGGCCGCCGTCCCTCTAACCCACGGCCTCCGCTTGTGCTGGCAGCGTTCCCGACCACCCCATCGCGCAGCTCCTGAAGAAGCTCCAGTGTGCGGTGTACCGGGCGC